AGCGCCCGCCAAGTGAGCGGGGCTGCGGGCGGAGCAGCACGGCGACTTGGCTGGCTTGCTGGGGAGGAGGGGCTGCAGTGTGGGAGACGGGGCGAATACGCCCGGCAGCGGTGCTATCTGGGCGGCTGCCTGACTCGTGCTAGCTGCGGGCTGCAGCAGCTGTGGCGCCGAGCCAGGGCGGTCTCAGCTCGCCCCTTTGCTCCGCACCTGCCGCACCAACTGCCCCGCGCCTGCCTGCCTGCCCCGCAGGATTGTGCGCTTCTTTGCCCAGCCCTGGGCCATGCAGCGCGCCACCTACTCCCGCTGGTGGACTGTCATCAAGAAGGAAGCCAAGCATTATTGGGTGGGTGGGTGGTCGGTGCTGGCAGCGGGGTGACGGCTGGGCGCGGAACGCGGCGGGCGGCGGCGCATGCGCCAGCGAAGGAGTTGAGGGCAGGCGGCAGGCAGAGCTGGGGTGGTGGAGGGCCGCGCCACCGGCAGGGCGCCTTGCCCGGCGACCCGACTTCCACCTGAACAGCCTTGCTTTCTTTCTTTCCTCCCTCCCTTCCTCCTTCTCATCGCTCCTTCTCTGCTGCCTGCCTCCCTCCCTCCCTTCTTCTCATCGCCCCGTCTCATCGCCCCCTCTCCCTCCCCTCCCCTCCCCTCCCTCCCAGGTCGGCACCAAGCTTCTGGCCGCCGACGCCAAGATCGCGTCCCGCCTGGTGGCCAAGATTGTGCACGGGCGCACGCTGAGCCGGCGCGAGCGCGCGCAGCTGACCCGCACCTCGGCGGACCTCTTCCGCCTCGTGCCCATGCTGGTGTTTGTGGTCATCCCCTTCATGGAGCTGCTGCTGCCGGTGAGGCCCGGGCTGCCACACGTGTGCACACCCGGGGCGCAAGGGCAGGCTGCCGTTGTCCCCCTCGCCGGCGCCGCAGCGGCGGGCCCGCCACTTCGCCAGCGCTCGCCGCGCGAGTTGGGTCCCAACACAAACAAGCTGCCTCCTGCCACCTGCCGCCTGCCCTCCCTCTGCGCGCGCAGGTGGCCCTCAAGCTCTTCCCCAACATGCTGCCCAGCACGTTTGAGGACAAGCTGAAGAAGGAGGAGGAGATGAAGCGGCGCATCGGGGCACGCATGGAGCTAGCGCGCTTCCTGCAGGTGGGGGTGCCTGGTGGGGCTGCTGGATGTTGCATGGTCCGGGGCAGCAGGCTCCTGTGGCGTGGCCCCCTGCTCCGTCCCAGGCCCGCCCCGCCCCGCGCTTTCACGCTCTGGGAGCACTCCATTGCGTGCATCCATCCCCCAACCGCTCACCCTCCTCCCCACGAACTTGTGAGTGCAGGACACGGTGGCGGAGATGGCGAGCGACATGCAGAAGAGCCGCAGCGGGGAGACTGCCACGTCAGCGGAGGAGCTGTACCGCTTCATGCAGCGCCTGCGGTACGCCCCCGGGCGCCGCGCGCGGCCCCGCGTGCGCATGCGTGTGGCATGCGCTGTGTGTGGCGTTGTCATGGGACGCTGGCTGCCAGGATGCTTCCAGCTGCCTCTCCCTCAACAGCCAGGTCCCCTCCGCGCAGCCCGCACACTGTTTTCCTCTCAACCTCTGCGGCCTGCCTCTCTCCCCACCCCCCCATCCTCCTCCAGCGCGGGCGAGGATGTGCCGGTCAGCGAGCTGCTGCGCTTCAGCAAGCTGTTCAACGACGAGCTGACGCTGGACAACCTGGAGCGGTACGGTGTGCCTGCGGTACCACCATGTGTACCTGCAGTACCGCCACGCCGACCGGACCACCAGCCCCGCCCTCCAGTCACCTGCCTCCCCACCTCCCCGCCTGTGCCGCCTGCAGGGTGCAGCTGGTGTCGCTGTGCCGCTTCGTGGGCATCCAGCCGTTTGGCACCGACGCCTTCCTGCGCGCCCGCCTGCGCCGCCACCTGCTGGAAATCAAGGTGCCTTGGGATCCCATAACGAACGGCCCTGCTGAGAGCAGAGCGGAGGCTGAGGCTTTGGCCTTGCCTTGCCTGCCGCAGGCCCGCTCCGTCGTGTGTCTGTGCGTCCCACAAGCACCCTGCCGCCAACTGGGAGGTCCCGCCGTCCCACCCTGCTGCCCCTGCTGCCCACCTGTACCGCCCCCATCATCCTGTACCGCAGGAGGACGACCAGGACATCCAGCAGGAGGGGCTGGAGAGCCTGACTGAGGACGAGCTGCGGCAGGTGAGGTTGCGGGCGCCGTGGTGGGTAGAGAGGGGGATGCTTGCTTCCTGTCCTTACCTCCGGGGCGTCCCTTTTGCCCTGTGGTTCCTTGTTGTCCACCGCCCCGGCACGCCGCCTTGCCCACCAACCGCGCCGCCGCATGCGTCGATTCGGCCATGCACCCTGCCTGCGTGTACCTTGCAGGCGTGCCGCGCGCGCGGCATGCGGGCACCCTTTGGCGAGGGCGCCGCCGAGTTCATGCGGCAGCAGCTGGCGGAGTGGATCGACTGGTCCCTGAACAAGTGAGCGACCCCAGCCCTGCGCCGCACGGCGCGGGATGGCCATTCCGCGGGGTGGACGCAGGATGCAGGGCGGGGTGTATAGGTGGATATGCATCGCTCGCTACAGGGGGCGGGATGGGAGGCAGGCGGCCCGGCCTGGCCGCCCACCAGCCTTCCCGCCCGCCGGCGCTGCCCCCCCCCCCGCAGGCACCTGCCCTCCTCGCTGCTGCTCCTCTCCCGGGCATTCACAGTGACCCAGCCCTTGGGGCGCGGCCCCCGCGCGGTGGATGTCAAGAGCCTCAGGCACGCCCGCTAGTCGTACCGTGCCCGCCCGCCTTCCTTCCAAGCCCCCCACCCCGCCACACCGCGCTGCTGCCTGCCAACCACACCCCTGCAGCAGCTGCCGCCATGTGCTGTAGCTGTAGACCCCCGCTGCCTCCCAGCCCATGCTGCATGCTCACTGCTGCCTCCATGCTGTGCACGCTGTGGTCGCCGCAGGGAGACGCTCTCCACGCTGCCTGATGAGGTGGTGGAGGATGTGGAGCTGTTTGCCACCGCGGAGAGGTGGGCTGGGCGTGCATGGGCTGCCTGGCACATCCGTTGCTGCCCTGTCTGCATGTTCGTTGCGGCCAGTGTGCGATGCATGCAGCAGGTGCCTGTGGGTGGCTCAGATGTGTAGGACCTGCGCTGCTCTGCTGCTGCCTCTGCTCCTCCCCGGCCCAGCCCAAACCCCTGATGTCGCCCCCTGCGCCTGCCCTTGCAGCGGCGACAAGACCGAGGCCATTGAGCGACGGCTGGAGCTTCTGGAGCGGGAGGAGGAGATGATCAAGGAGGAGGAGGCGGTGCGTGAGGGTGGTACGGCCAGTACCGCAGTACTGCACGAGCTGTACTGCAGCTGGGAACTTGCCGGGTTTTCGCGTGCTTTCAGAACGCCCCCGCGCCTCGCCGCACGCGCACATCCTCACCCGCCATCGCTCTCACACACAAGTTGCTGCCGCAGGTCGCCTCGGAGCTGCCCGTGACCGCGGGCGCCGCCGACGCGCGCACCATGGCGGCGGCCGCCGCCGCTGCGGCCGTGGTACGTGAGGCCGCCGCCGCTGTGGTGTTTGAGCACCTGGAGGGAGAGTCGGGTGAGCAGGGCTGGACGCCTGCGGCAGCCCTGGGGAGCCTGCCGGACCGTGCCACCATGCGCTGGGCCCGCTACGCCTGGCTAATTTCCTTCCTTTGGGCGGGACAGTTGGATGTACCGCTACGCCCGCTAGGCCCGCGCCGCATGTGCCGCAATGCAGCGCCTGCCGTGAGCAGTTCGCCTCCTGTCGTGGTGACCCCTCCCCCGCCACACACTGTGCAGCGGAGGAAAAGGAGCTCAAGGCGGCGGGGGCCAAGAAGCACCGCATGCGCAAGGTCATCACGTGAGTGCCCGCCCACCTCCCCGCCTCCCAGCTGTCCTGCCACCCGCCGCTCCCTCCACCCAGCCGCCCTCAAACAACCACCAGACCAAAACTAACAAACCATGCCAAACCTTATCAACACACCCTGCCGATGCACCATCAACAACAGCATCGCCACACCGCCCTCGCCATCCCGCATCGAGCGTCCGGCCTGCTCAGCTGTTCTGCCCCGCCTGGTACCCTGCAGAGCGCTAGCCCACCTGGCGTCTGCCAGCGGGGTGGCTCGAGAGCGGGATGAGTTTATGGAGCTAGTGGAGAAGGAGATTGGGAGGTGTGTGCGGGTGGTGGGGTTGTGGCCTATGCTGGTGGCTTCTGGGGTGCCGCTGGCAGCGCCTCCGCGGCGCCGCCAGGGACCGCTGCTGCCCGGCTGCCTGCGGTCGGGCGGCAGGGTGGGGGCTGCTGCTCGCCCTGCCCAAGCCCGCCTCTGTTGCAAGCCCTCCACCTGAAATGAGTACAACAACAAGCTTGGCTGCAGGCTGGAAGGGCAGCTGGAGACGCGTGGAGTGGGCATGGTCTTTGCCAAGGGCGCTCTGGAGGTGCGGCGGCGGCTGCCCGCTGCGGCCTGCGGGCGAGCCTGCCGCGCGCTGCGGCTGCCTGTGGCAGCCTGCCTGCCCCTGCTCTGCATCGGGGATCCCACCCCACCCCTCGGCCGGCCTCCCTCGCTCCCCTCCCTCCCCTGCCGTGCCTCCACGCTCCAGCTCCCACTCCCTTGTCCACCCCCCATCCCCTAAAACCCACCCCCTGTCCGCCCGCAGGCCAAGCGCCAGGCCCAGCTGGAGCACCTGGTGGGCGCCAAGCGGCTGGAGGACCGAGTGGCGGGCATACTGCAGCGGGTGGAGCGGGAGCTGGATGACGCGGGTGAGCGGCGGCGGCGGCGGCGGTGGTGGTGTGTGTGTGGATGTATGTGTGTGTTGTTGGCGGTGTCCTGTGCCTGTGTGCCTGTGTGTGTGTGCGTGTGTTGGGGTGGGGTGGGTTCCCGTGGAGCCTGCCTGGCTGTCCGGCCTGTTTTTGGCCCACGCCACCGCCAGCGGGCGATTCCGTTTGTGACGAAGCGGCCGCGCTCCTGCCTGCCTGGTTCCGCCCGTACAGACCAAGATCGGCGACAAGCTGCGGGTGGTGGACATGG